CAGGGATCAGAGCCCAGCCATAACAGAGGGACTGGAGCCAGGGGCCGGAGCACCCCCTCGCCCTGCAACAAGAGCCAGCAGGGACGGAAGGTGGGGGGGAGGGGAGGGGGCGGTTACCAGTAGCCACATCCACCACCCCAAAGCCGCCCCCCCAAGCCTGCAGCTGCTCTACCACCCACAGCCACCCCGCCAGGCCCATGCCCATGCCCATGCCTGCCACAGGGCCTGCGCCCACCACTAGGCCTGGGCCCACTGCCACTGGGCCTGCACCTGCCGCCGCTGCTGGGCCCACAGCCACCACTGGGCCTAGGCCTGTGACCATCACTGAGCCTGCAGGTGTGGGGTGGCAGTGTCATGAGCACGGTGGTGGCTGTGGGGGAAAGCAGGCCCAGACCCAAAGCAGCCACGGGGGAGAGACCGGGGGGAACAGCCAAAGTGGCAAGGGTCGGGGAGTGGACCAGGCCCCAAAGCAGGGGCAAGACCACCGTGGTGGGGGCGGAAGGCAACGGGATTGGGCCTGCAGTGGAGGGGGGGAAGGAGGGGGAGCGGCCCTGCCCTGAACCCAAACTGCCGAGGGGGACAGTCGGGCCTGAAGGAAGTGGGGCCAGACTAGCATGGGGGGGAATGGGGGCATAGGGCTGAACACTGGATTTTGTCCCTGCCACCACCCCCCTATCATTTTTAATGGTCAAGTTGCTAGTATTTTTCATAATAGCCTAGCGCACTTAGCCAGGAAGTGGAAAAATTGGGTTCTAGGTCTTTCTCAGCCACAGGACTTAGAACCCACATCTCCAACTTACCAGGATAGTGCCTTCCCCAGAATCTTATGAAGAAGGTTGGGTCCCAAAGCCAGCAAGTTTTCAGTGAGAGACATTATGTTGCTGTTCTTTGTACTCAACTAACTTAATGTTGCATGTGTGAGTTTGGTGTGCACCAAAGACACCTAATAGATTGGCTTCTTCAGGGACTTAGAATTTAGGTGTTGCTCCACTTCCATTCTGGAACACAGTAGAATTTAAATGGGAGTTAGGTGCCTAGGTATCCAAACTGGATTGCTTTACACATGATCAGATGCCTAAGCGCAGGTGTCCAGGGACTTTACAGTCTAAGGTGTAGGGGCCTACTCAGTTTTGCTGCCAAATACAGTTTTTCTGAATAGTTTTTTGGAACTCTGGTGTCTGAATTCTGCCTAGGTCCTCCTTGTTAACCAGTTTAAACTTGGTCATTCATAAATAGACCTGGAATCTAGCTATTTCCAGAAGAAATTGCAGGAAAATAGCTATGTTTAGGGGCTATTTCTGGAGGGCTGCAGCTGTACTCCCCTTTGATTCTTGGTCCACCTAAAGTTTAAAACAAACTGCCCAGAAGCAGCAGCATTTCTGTTCAGACAGCAGTAAGGGAGTCTCCTTGGCTCATTATAATCTGCCTGATTCCTTCTAAAATCGTCATTCTGCAGGTGTTAATGACCCTCTCTCCTTTTTTTAATGTTCTTAATGTTTCATTTATGAATTTAGCTGCCCCTGGTAATATAGCTCCTATTTCACAGCACTGTAGACTATTTTTAACTGTAGCTAAAAACATTAACTCAAATGTGGAAACATTAAGTGAGGTGAACATTAACTCAGTTGTGGAAATAACTTTCAGTGAAGCATTGGATGCCCTGTTAAGATGCTGAAGAAGGCTTGATTTTTGTTTTATGAATCTGAAAGTGATTTAATTCTAATGATTACAGGACTAAAGAAACATCTTTTGAATATTTTTGCTTAATTTGTAATGTTTTTAATACAGAATATAGCAAAGTGCGTATAGTAAATTAATGAACGTTCCTATAAAGTTATATTTATTTTTACTTCAATCTTAAATGGAATAATATAGCCCTAGGTCCCTAGCATATTAGTAAAGCTTCTAATTTCTTTTTAGCAGGAGAAAAATGTGTTGTGTTATATGTGATGATGCAGCACACCATTTGCACCCCCCTTTGTCAAAATCTTAGATCCATCCATGGACATGCTCCACAAAGATAGTATAACTGAATACAGTTTTTCACAATCAGGCACTGAAAGCAGCATACTGACTGAATGAACCATAGCTATGAATAGATCAGAGCGAGCCCAAGACTGATAATGTTCAGATCAAGATGAAAAATACATTTTTAAATAAAGCCTGCCCCCCATATCAGCACTGTTTTGAAAAGTAAAATAGTGTATAGTCCTTTCTCAGAAGGATGAAAGGGAAAACACCTTTTTGTTCCAGGATATTATGTTCTTTCATTTTGCAGCAATTGGACCCTAGGGAGAAAGGCAACACTTTATTAAATTTAAGTACTATACAAAAGACTACGTAAAATTATTTAAATTAATTTTAAATATGTCTGAATGACATAATGAAAAGGAGAACCCATTGTGAAGCATTATGAGTACATTTAGTATCAAAGATAATATATGGGTTTCCATTCTCTTTGGAATGTGTGTATGAAAACAGTAGATTTTCTGCAAACAATTTTCTTACATTAAAATGTATTTCTTCAGAGTCTGCTCATAAAATTCAGAAGTACAGCACTTTCATCAGTCTTAAAAAATTAAAAATATTTACTGAATTTACTGGTCTGCTTTATATCTGGCCCATTAAATAATCACAATTTTTACTTCCTGTTAACCATTCTTGTCCTTTTCTGAGAGAGATCACCGTATAAATACATTTGAAGCTCTTGCTCCCTAACAACACAGTTGGCAAATCCAAGCGTCTTGTTTATTTGTCCTCTGTTAGAAGCCTTTAATGTTGTTAGCCCTGGGGTATTCATGAAGTGCCTGTGGCCCTTAGCTTTGGTAGGAAAGGTAGTTTTGGGGTTTTTTCTTTCTGTTTGCTCATCTGTTAAGAGGTCTGTCTTGAGAAGTTTCACAGATGTCTCTTCTGTCATCTTTTCAGCTTTCCCTGTGGTTCCTGGATGAGACAATGGTATGGGTTGACTTGTGGTGCTATTAGATTAATACAGGCAGTCCTCAGACTTACAACACAATTGGTTCCTGAAAATGTTGTAACTTGGAACCAATTTTCTTACAAGAAGCAATGTTATAAAGGGAGGATTGGTTCCTGAACCAAGGCCCAATACCCCACTTTCACCAAAAATACCCCAGAATTCTGTACTCAATCAATTATAGATGAGTAATATAGCTACATTAGTGTATTTATATTGTAAATAGTAATCATATTGATTTGGAAGGATATCTTTGAGGTGACTTTGCTGGACTTTTTGAAGGGCTCTTGGTTGGACTTTTTGAAGGGCTCTTGGCTGGACTCTTCTCAGGAGTCTTGACTGCAGATTTTTCTGGAGTCTTGACTGCTTTCTTAAAGAAAGTGTCCAAGGAAGTTTCGACAGATGTTCTCCAGGGAGGTGAACGACGCAGCAAACTTGTTCGCTGGCGTGGCGTGGTGTGGCGTCGCATCGGTTCAAGCGTTGTAAAGTTGAAACTGATGTCATAAAGTAGAAACAGGGTGTCAATTTATAAAAGTTATAAGTGTGAAACGTTGTAACTCGAAACATTGTAAGTGAAGGACTGCCTGTGCCACACAGTTGTGTTTTCACATGATCCCAGTGAACAGTATTTTTATTTCTCAGTGCTTCATTATTTGGTGATGTTACTATTTGGGGTAAAAAGCCATGAATGAAAGCCTAGGAAGTACTAGGAAGTATTTTGTTCTGACTTAAATCAATTTTCTTTTTGTCCGGATGTTCACAATTTGAAGGGTGTATTTGTTTCTTAATCTTCTATCAAGTGACGTTTTCTCCTCTTCCTTTTTTATCTAGATTTCACCATTATGATTCCTGCTTTCTATCTTGTAATAATTCATTGTATTCATCATGCAGTTATATTTTGAGACAACTTGAAAGTTACAGCTGATGAAGTTTTAAGCTACTTTGTGCTTGGAGATGTAACCACTAGGAATGGCAGATCTGAATTTTGATACTAGATTTGGATCCCCATTTGTAGCTGGATCCAGTTTAAAAGACTGACTTTTGACTTTTTGATTACTGATTTCTTCCTTGGCTGTCTGAAAGCCTGCCTTTCTCCTCTGTTGGCTGCTGGCAGCTGAGGTCAGCTGGAAGCTGAAACTGTGGGAGAGGAAGGGTATCTTGGATGGGGTTGAATGTGTGGAGCTGAAGGGTTGCAATCCATTTGATGTCAGGAGAAGGGGGTTAAGATTTAGGAAATCCTCAAATAAGTCTCCATACTTATGAATACTTACATGATCAAATACAAAAGCTAAACCTTCTGATGCTATATAGTCAAGTCAGTCCCAACACCGCTACAACTAGTGGGACACCTTAGATGCTGTAACAAACCTCTTGTACTCCACCCTGTTTGGTTACCTTTTTGCACTCTCAGTTGAAGTCCCATCCAGTCCTTGATATTGGTTTCCCAGCTCTTCTTGGGTCTACTTCATTTTCTCTTTCCCTCCACAGCACCTTGCATTATGGTGTTGGCAAGGGTGTCCAGATTTCTTGTGATGTGAACGATATATAATTTTTATAAATATAGCATTTTTTATACTATATGCATTTTGTAATATTAAAAAAAGCAAAAGTAAACTATTTGAGGTATTGCATTATTCTGCTCTTATTGATGTCCACCTCTTTCAGGACCTTTTTCTTTATACATTTCACACATTCTTTAACTTTCCATCTTATCCCAGCTGAAGGGCTTACTTTTGATTATATTGTCTTAATGGTTCATTCATTTATACGTATATTGTAGAGTTCTTCATATCCTGCTTGCACAATAGCTGCATCAAAATGTTTATAAATACTTCTTGGGACTAATCTTCATAAAAGAGTTAAAATAGATATAGTTTTGCTAGGTCCTTCAGAATAATCTTCTACAAGTTGTTAAAATCTGTAAGGTGGACGCTTGAGAGTTGATCTTCATACAGACCATATATGTCATGAATTGATAAAATATAAGTTAAATTGAGCTTTTCAGTTATTTTCCCTTTTTTTATAGCCTTTTATGTCCCCTCGATACCCTGGAGGTCCAAGGCCGCCTTTAAGAATACCCAATCAGGTAAGAGCCTTATATCAAGGACATTATTTGTATTCCAGAAATATGGTGCAGTGGTTAGAGTGGGGAATATTATACTTTCTACTAACTTACATGACTTAGGACTAACCTTTGCCTAGGGGTTATGTATGTACTAGGGGTGTGCAAAGCAGGCCGTATTCGATTTGGATTTGGCCCGAGTCAGGGACAGTGATTAAATTCGTTGATTCAAATCACTGTCCCTGATTTAATTCGACCGAATCCAAATCTGAAGTTTCAATGCTGATTCAGTGAAGCAGTGATTCAGACATAGACACAGCTTTAAATGTTTTTTCTACATACGAGGTACCACATGTGGCTCATGAAGGCTGCGATGCTGGGGCAGATGGAGCATCCCACAGGAGCATGGGGGCCCCTCCCTCTGCATGCTTGGCAGGACACCCAGAAATGGACCAGAAGTGGTTCTGGTGTACTTCTGGGTTGGTTGAGCAGCACGCTGGGGCCCACCCCCAGTGCTCCTCTGGCTTAGCATTTGACCACAGGGGGACCCCAGGTGCCCCTCCAGACCCAGGAGGCACAAGTCATCAAGCCAGGGGAGCCTGGAGGGTCCCCCAGTGCACTCTCTGGTGGACCTGGAAGTGGACTGGCAGGGCTTCTGGTCCACTTCTGGGTCTGCTGCCGAGCGTGCTGCTCCTCCCCTTCCCCCCCCCCCCCCCCC